TTCTTCTTCTTCCTCCTCCTCCTCCTCCTCTTCCTCCTCCTCTTCCTTCTCCTCCTCCTCCTCCTCTTCCTACCCCTCTTCCTCCTCCCCCTCCCCCCAACCTCCAACTTCCTTCTAGCACTGATGGTGTTGCCTTGTTGGGTAATGAAATGTCTGCAAGAAAACCGCCCAGCTCAGAGAGCCCCAAGGACCCCCACAATCCTCCTTTTTCTTACTCTCTCCTCTCCTTTCCCCCCCTCCCCCTCCCCCTTTCTCCAAACCTCCACTCCCTCCTAGCACTGATGATGTTGCCTAGTTGGGTAATGAAACGTCTGCAAGAAAGCAAGCAAAGCGGGCTGGGGAATTCTGGGAGTTAAAGTCCACTTGTTTTCAAGAGTTGAGAAAGCCCGCCTTAACGTGTTTCTGGGGTTTCCGCTTTAAGTGACACCATCCCCCCCCTTCTCTCCTCTTTCTCTCCTCCTCTCTCCTGCAGGCAGCCGCTCTTCTAGGAGGTGAGGACAGGCCATTTCCTCAAGAGCCCCTGGCCCGAAGACAGCCACAACCCGCTGGCTGTAACGGGAACCCTGGCATCTTCCTGGCACCCCGCGAGACGAAGCAGGTGATTAGCACCGAACGCTGCTATTCTACACCCCTTGGCTCAGAGGCCGTGGGTTTTTTTTTTTCGGACTCGGTCGAAAGACGGGATCCTTTTCTGGAACCAGAGAGGTCTGCAATGCTTGTCAGCTGTCATGCACACACCCACAGCCTTTGTGTCCTGAAAAAAAATCCACACACACACACACACGACAAAATGGCATCTGCCCTCCCATGATAGGCCCAAGAAAGCCCAGCTGGGCTTTCCAACCTTTGGTGTGATGACCCAAAGGGGCGTGGCACAAAGGCAACACAGTCAAATAATATGTAGGAGTTCCTTTATGAGCTCCAACTTTGCCCCCAGTGTCCTGGTTGCCTTCTGGGCTGGAGAAAAAATTCTCCCAGGAACAGCCTTGGGCTGCAGAGAATCAAGTCCAAAACATGGTCAACAAAAACTGTAACTATAAGTCCAATCAAGGCAAAATGAGATCATTAGTCCGGCAGGGCAAGAGAAGGAATTCCAGAAGCGAAGGCACGGCAATAACTCCACACGGTCGGGAAGACGCCAGGAATACAGATAAGCAAAGTCAACACAAGATAAAGTCACGTTTGCTCCCAGAAGCTGCCGCACTCAGCACTCATCTCTTTTAAGTTCCCTTCCCAGCTGTGGCTAATGAAGGGAATCAGGGCCCTTTCCTCCCCCGTAAGCCAGGCAACCCTCATTGCTCCCTTCTCTGTTCCTCCCTGCGTGCCCTAGGATGAAGAGGGGATGTGGGCCTGGGTCTTCCTCTGAACTCCCTCTCCCTTGTTCTACCTCTCCCCTGCTCTGCCCAGCCGGACTTTCTCCTTCCCCAGTTTCCTCCTCCACAGCCAACAGGAGCCACACTACCCCTCCCTGTCAGCTGTTCGTCTTCCTTCTCGGATTCAGAATCCGACAGGGGCATGACACTTTCGTGTTGAATGGAGAATGGGGCTGTGGGTATCTTTAAGCCATGATTGGACATGGTTCAAGGTTTAGCAGAACCTTCTTGGGACCCCGATTGGCAAGACAAGGATGAAGTAGGGGTGATTCAGAGAATTTGAAGAACTGGGATAGACATTTAGAAGGTCCCGTGCAGGGGTAGCTTTGCCTTTGATCTCCTACCAATCCCCCTCCTTGAGATATAGAGTAAGGGTCTCCAACCTTGGCAAGTCTTGTGAACTTTTAACTCCCAGAATTCCTCAGCCAGCTTTTCTGGCTGAGGAATTCTGGGAGTTGAAGTCCACACGTCTTAAAGTTGCCAAGGTTGGAGACCCCTGATATAGAAGATGACGGAAATGGCCTTCAAGATAACGTACAGGTAGTCCTCGAGTTACGACCACAACTGAGCCCCAGATTTATGCGGCTAAGTGAAATACTTCTTGTTTTGCCCCGTTTTACACCTTTTTTTTTTTCTGCCGTCGTTAACCGAATCATTGCATCTGTTAAGTTAGTCACCCGGTTGTTAACGCGAATCTGGATTTCCCCGTTGACTTCGCCCGTCCGAAGGTCGCCAATGTGGATCACGTGACCCCCCAGGACACTTGCAACCCGTCATAAAATACGAACCAGTTGTCAAGCGTCTGAATTTTGAGCATGTGACCGTGGGGGGATGACGCAGCGGTTGTACATGTGAAAACCAGTCCTGAGTCACTTTTTTTTTCCCCCAGTGCCGTTGTAACTTTGAACGGTCACTAAATGAACTGTTTGTAAGTCAAGGACGATCTGCAGGTGGCAGTTTGTGGGGAAAATACGAACTTACCCCAGGAAAACGGGGACGCGTGTGGAAGAAGCTCACGATTGCTATCTATTGATTCTCTTTGGTATGCAAAGGAGAGAAGGCCGTCCAATCCTGTTAGGGTGACCTGTATCAATAAATGAGATGACCAGGATCTGTCTTGTGTCTTGTTTCCTGACCTGGCCTACCTCAAAGGGCTGACAGCAGGGAATGACGGGGTTGGTAGTCGCCCCACGTTAGAGCCGCTCTTTCCACCCAATTCCGGTGGATCTGAAGGCTCCATGGATGGAGGATTGGTGTTATAGCAGCAGCAGAATGGGGCAAATCTGGTTTGAGGTGGACGAAGGTTCGACAGAAAACCCTGGGCCATGTCTGTGTGTGAATGGGCAGGTGGGGTGGGTCCTGTACAGCTGTGTTACTTTAACATGGCAACTGGAAGATACGTATATGTTATGTCTCACCTGTACCAACGAGGTGAGAAAGTCCAAATTTCCAAATGAATATAAACAAGCAAACAAGTCCAGGAATGACGGGGTTAAATTCCTTGAGCCGGGAAAGTCCTTGGCAGTCTCACACAAGCTGTCTGCCAAGTCCGACAATAAAGCAAGAACATAAATCACAAGCTGTCGCCACACACAGAATCTTTCGAAGCTTCTCTCACAAATTAACACGTTGTCCCGAACAAGTTCTCAGAGCGAACACACCCACTTTTATTCTCTGTGGGGCGTGTCAGTCCCTCATCTCAGTCTCTGATTCGTCCTTTCTTTCTACGTTGCAACTTACACTTTTGCCTGCGCCGTTGCCTCGCATCAAGCCAGCATTCCTCAGCTTGATCCTCAGTCAGAGGCACTGATAACGCTCTCCGGATGATCTGCCGACACCTGAGGCACAATCAGGGAGGAAGGTCCTGCCGAGGAGGAAAGTCCTGGGGAGGAAGGCAATTCCAAATCCTCTAACAAAGCAGGCTCAAACCTCAGAGCCAAATCCTCCTCTTCCTCATTGTCCAAGTCCTCGACCTCTGACAAAGCAGGCTCAAACCTCCAAGCCACAACATGTATATATGTATGTTTTATGGGTCCTATTGGCAAAAGAAAGATCAGGGCCCTATAGGTTGGAAACGTGTGGAAGGGGCCTTCGCCCTACAGTGGAGAGGCAATGGCTAAAGTGATGGTGAAGATTTCGTGTACACCTTTTGGATAGTCTGTGTCCACCTCCCCCAATCTAGAGGGAGGGAAGAGAGGGAGGGAGGGACATATGAATGAATGAATGAATGAAATCTCTTGGATAGTCTGTTTCCACCT